ATATACAACTTTCTCCCAACAGCCGCCTACAGCCCAAGTAACCAGTGGAGGGAAGTGACCCTATTTAATTAGAAAGCTTGCAAGCAGATTTGGCTCTTTAGGCTGCCTCTCTGTCCCCTCTAGCTTTCTTTCCCACCCTCCACCCCCAATAATTGCGAGGTATCTGTTGATGTTTTTCTTACACCCGACAAAACGTTGGAGCGTTGCCTGCTGTAATGATCCTTTCTGGGTTTGTTGTGTCTGGAGACAATGCTCCGCCAATGAAATGTCAGAGGTGAAGGGGGTCACAGGGAGGCAGTAAGCTGAGTCTTCACCTAGTTGGCCAGTAGTTCTGATGCTGCCGAAGGGCAGTAGTAAACGTGCCGAAGGCCAGGGATCTTTCCTTCACTGCCTTAAGTCTATGGCACCCACGCCTTTCTTCTTTCCCAGAGGTGTGTGTGTGTGTGTGGGGGGGGGGGGGGGGAATCGCCCGTTTTCTAGGCCCCGCAGACGAAGTGACAAGCCAAAAGGATGAGCCAGAACCTGCTCCTGTCTCCACCAGAAAAGCGTCTTCTTTATTTTCACGGGAACACGAGGGGACTCCAGTCTCTAAGGTTGATTTTTTTTTTAAATCTCACACTTTAAAAAATCGATCCGTCTCACCCTTCAGTCATGGCTGCCTTCAGCATCGTTTCTAATCACCTATTAGTTTCGCGGGGGGGTTGGGCGGCAGTTGTGTGTGTGCCCCGCGGAGTATCACATATCGTTTAGCTGATAGGGTGAATCCTCTACAGAGCAATATCTTTGAGGATTGCAATGCGGGGAAGTATTTATTTTTTTAAAGGAAAGATCAGCAGAACTCCCTACCCCTCGGCTTTGGCTCGTCTAACCTTATAACACTAACGTTTTTCTGAACAACAGTACCAAGAAAAGGAATTTTGAGAGAAGTTTGTGTGTTATGATCAACGCTGGGCCCAGATTCTGATCTTACACAAAGAGCCGGCAATCAGAGATCAGAACCAGGGCCGCCCAGAGGATTCAGGGGGCCTGGGGCAAAGCAATTTCGGGGGCCCTTTCCATAAAAAAAAGTTGCAATATTATAGAATACTATATTCTTGTGGGGGCCCTTGCGGGGCCTGGGGCAAATTGCCCCACTTGCCCCCCCTGCGGCCCCGATCAGCACTAGGCCCTGTACCTATCCTTTTCCAGAGATGAAAGGGGCTTGTGATCTTGTGCTGAGCTCTCATGCTTTATCAGGTGCAAATGTTTACATGTCGCCAAAAAAGGTCCAGCTGGGCATTGTTATATTCTTATTTTCGTCTCACAGTTAGGTCTTATTAGCTACTGTCTGTACCTTGGCTGCGTGTAGTGGTAGGGATCGCCCAAAGAGTAACGCTCTCTGAAAGATTTTTTTTTTTAATAGTGATAAAGAGAAACTTGGAAAGAGGGGGAGAGGCGCTCAATGAGTAGAGAGGAGTAACAGCAGCAACTTTGAAAATGCACTTTAGTCCTTCTGTACAGTGCAACACACAGACCTGTAGTGAGGCTCACTAATTAAGACGCGCATTTTCACGCGTTCAGCTAGGGGTTGAGTTATTGCTGCAAGACATCAACCCTCATCCGCAGTCTCTTGCGCTGACAAGTTGTAAAAAGAGGAGCAGAGAATGGCCTAGAGATACATTAGCTGGTAATAACACTTGTTTTTATTCACTAGACTTTAACAAGTACAAGCGCAGACAACAGAACAAAGCGTCAGAGCCTTGTTACAGCTAATGCTTTCATTACACTCTGATTTTCTTGCATTTCTGATCCTCCACCCCCCCCCAACCTTCAGTCAATAGGGGAGGGATGCCAGAAAGAGTGAGACGTTTCTGACCCAGCCCTAAGAAAGTGTCACAAAGTATGTAACTTTTTTTTAATTGCAGCCCCCATATTTTTGTAATGATGCGCCCAAGTCAATTCGAAAACCTAGGAAGCCTTGATATCCTATATTTTGATGTAGCAATATAGTAATTTATGTCCACCAACATACTGTGACGAAGTTACAATGAAGCGAGGCGCCTTGCCTCTGTATCCCTGAAAAAAGGAATTAGGCAACTGAACGCAATTTGTCCTATTAGCACAATCCTGCGTGAGATTTCGACCGACTTGCGGATCTTTTTAGAAACAGAGCGGCTGGTCCTATTTTAGGGTCAGGTCTTGCATCCCTTATTCAGGCAAACTCCCGTAGGCTCCACGGGGAATGGCGTTCTAGTGGGGACTACAGAATCGGGCCCGCACTGCAGAAGGAGTTCCCTTGTCACTGCTCCTTGGTTTGCAAAGGACAGAGGCTGGGATGAGGGTTTGGAGTAGTTTCCTTTTCTAAACTCGGTTTGCTTTTTATTTCTGCTACTCGTCAACACCCAATACTTGAAGCATATGGAAGTCTTGGCTGAGCACAGACTGCACGGGCAGCTTCATAAGTGTGATGAATTAACATCTGCAATTACCGTTGCCCTTTTTAATTAACGAGGTTTTTTATTTATTATTTTTTTTTTACAATTTATATCTAAAACGCTAATAGGACAAAACCATGCAGCTATATATATACACACATTCTTACAGGGAAAAGTGTGTTTATATATTTGTGTACATAAAATGTACTACATGTCAAACCAGAGTACAAAACTTCATTGTATAAGTGGCACCTGGATATTATCTAGCTATCTTAAATAGCTCTACCAAATGAGTGATTCAGTAATACAGTTTAGTGAGCAATAGATTAGCAGGAGGACGATGTAGTAAATTACAATCACAGGTAATGCGGTCTGAAATTAACAACAGTTTGAACCCTTACAAAATTTAGAAGCCTGGGGCTACTTCTGAAATACAGATGTGGCTCTTCCTAAAAATAAAAAGTAAATGATGGGAACACTTCGGTTTCTCGTGTTCCTCAATTTTACAATAATTACACTGCACGACAAGGGCATCCATCGTAGGACCAGCGTCCCAAAACTATACAGGCTAAAAACTGATTATAAAGATTTTACTGTTGAATGTTCCACTGTTCAAGTTGCTGAAGAAAAAATAAGGTGGGGGGGGGTGGGTGGGAAGGGGGAAACAAACCTTCGCAGCTTGTGCAAAATAGTCCAGTTCGTCTTTATAGGTATGTTAACCAATATTCAAACGCAGCGTTTATACTTATATGTATATCAAAACATACCAGAATTACAGATCTCCCCCCCCCCAGTAAATTGTCCTTTGTGATACAAAAGCTCCTTGTTTTCGTGCCTTTAATTATATGTGCCACCAACGAGCTGCAAAACGTTTAGTGATGTTGGGCAGAGCTCTTTAAAAGGGAAAAGTCGGCAGTGTAGTTCGTCAGAAAAAAGATCGATCCTGGACTCCCTTCTGAGGCAAAACTCTCATCGATCTCCATTCAGGACCGATCTCTTAGCTAGCAAGAGCCGCTGGAATTGAAGAATTTTACATGTGATGATTGCCCTATCCATGAAATACTCATGTCGTTTTCACCGGCGCAAGGCAATCTCTGTGCACACGAGACACACATTCTGAAATGACACGTGTGAAAGTTACAGCTTCTCTAATGAGTAGGAAATCTCTTGGGATGCTCGCCTGTTAGTTTTTACAATGCAAAACCAGGGGCTCTCGTCTAATATGTATTTCATCTTACTGGTGTGTGTGTGTGTTTTGTCTGTAATTGTGTGTGTACAGAGGGACACATGAAAATGAGAGTATAGGTACACACAACTCCATTCATGTGCTAATTACACACGATAAAAATTAACCAGCCTGCCATATACTAACAATTTTTAAACAATGCTTAGCCATTGGTGCAGAGGCCGTACATAGTTTGTAGAGACTAACTCACACAGACTTGGAGTTTTAAATTTTAAAAATCCCAGCTAGGAACAGTCAGACCTGTTTAACAGCATTACTCCCCTTACAAGGAAAAATTATGGGGGAAAAAGCATCCTCAGGAATAACTCGGGGAAGGGTTTGAGGCTCTGGAGGCAGTGAAATAAAGAGACACACAAGATCACCAATAGCTAGAAGCACACACAGAAAGGGACAAAAATAGTTGCCGGCCACTTTTTTCCCTTAACATATGCTATTCCATCTTACGAGCTACTATATTTTAAAAAAGCCATTTCAAACTCTACGTGTATTAAATATCCGCTCCTTATTTCTGCCTGTCCTAGAGAAGCCTCGAGCAGATATTTCTACCACTTTGGGATTGTTTTAAATAGCCCAACGATGTTGCCTGTTTCTCACGTCTCAGAATGAAACGGGGGTACTTTGCAAATACAACAGTGTCCTGGCCTTTTAAACCGCAAAGAAAATAGACCCTCTCGCGTTCAGAGTCTGGAGATGAAGCGCGCGCTATGCACCTGTATGGAGCAATGCAAGCCGATGGGATATATGTGTGTGTGTATATATACATAGCTATTGTGCTTAGACTCCGTCCTGCAGGGTCAGCCTTAAAGGAAGCATCTGTTTCCAATTAGCAGTCTCCGAGCTCCTGCTTGAGACGCACACTGTTCCCGGGCGAGGAGGGGCCCTTTGAGCACCCGCTCCGTTCAAAGCAGCCCGGCCCCAAGTTTGCTCTGTATCACACTGAAACCACCGCCTCACGCAGCACCAGCTTTTTCCATTACACCTCTGGCAACTGCCTGCCTTTCACACAGGGACACAAAGAGCCTTCTCTCTCCTGCAGCCCAGTTACTCACAAACTGTAAAAAGCTCGATCAAGCCACCACACATACCCATACATCATGAAATGGCTCTTGAATACATTCAGGAACGTTTCTGGGGCTAATACACAGACGATCGTGTTCAAACATCGGTGCTGAAATCGCCTTGTGCCCCCACCTTTCCTTTTATAGGCTGCTTCTCCCCTCGTCTAATCCTTATAGGACATCATTGACTTTATACAGATTTTTAAACACACACACACACACACACACACGACAGCGAGAGAGGATCTAATTTTTATGTTTCTAAATTATGCTGCCTAAGACCGAAGCCTGGCTAATTTTCCAGGCATAAAGTTAAGAGAAGAGTTAATTGCTGGGTGGTAGATCTTCAACCAAAGGGAAATGTATGGGCTCCACGACCTCTGGATAACCTGGGTACCTTGGCACGAAATCTTTCAACAATATTTACTTACCTTGAAGTTACTATTTTATTTATTTACTTAGTTTTTATTTCTTAAGGTATCTTTCGAGATGGTTGCAGCTCCTGGGTGAGCTCTAATTCTAGTCAGCAGAAATGTGAATGGCTCAATTCTGCAGGAATTGGATCTTAAAGGTGCTGGATAGAGAAGCTTATTGTATTTCTTCTGTCTCTCACGCACACAGGAACCGGCGATTTCAAAAACAGCTTTACAATCCCCCTGACTAGTTTGAAATATATTTGAGCAATTAGGAATTAATTCGTCATGGACCAAAGGTAATTTCACTGTAAGTTATATCAGTTACCCAAACTTTAAAGAGTTCAAGCAGTGGAAATGGTACATTGAGGTGGAGGTAAGCAGCAGGAAATGAAAACAAGGAGTGTACAGTAAAGGAAGACTAGCGGAAAAGAGCCGGAGGAATGTTAGTGGCAAAGGTTTTTTGTTTGTTTGTTTTGATTTTCTTTCATTTTTAGTTGGAGAAAGCACTAAAATGCACTTCAGGTCCTTTGTAGAAAGATGATTTTTAATATCAAAAGGAAATTAACTGGACAGCCCACCGGTCAGATCCCAGCCAATATATTTCAGGTACATGATGAGGAGAAACAACCCTGGAGATAAACCTCAAATTTAAGAAAGTTAAACAGAAGCAGTAGCAATGGTGTTTGAGATCTTCTCTTACTTGCAAATTAAAGGTCTGGAAATTAAATGTATCTTTTACACAAGTACATACAATAAAATTAATTAAAAAGCCCCCCCCAACATTTTACACCGATCATGATTCTCCTCCAATCAATTATGTCCAGCTAAGATGCAGATGGCAGCCTCCACCAACCGTAGGGAGTGATTTTTCTAGGGAAGATGAAAAGCCCATTTGGAGGCAAAGAACAGGCTCAGGCATTGGGGTTATTCTTCATGAGTTCCACATCAGCTTCCACCATCTCTTTCACCAACTCCTGCAAGAAGGAACAGCATGTGGTGGTTATTCTGGTCTTTTGGAAGACTCAAACGCCTGTTTTTTTTTTTTTAAGTTTAATTGCCAGTCCATTGTGCGATACTCAACGCACTAAAAACAAAACAAACCCCACCCCACCCCTCCGACCCCTCATTTTATGTATCATTTCAATTATTATTTTACTTGTAGGGAAAAGTTAACTTTGATGTTAAGGGCAGCAATCAGAAGTCCAGGAAAGCAAATTCCAGGGGGCTGTCAAATCCAGAGACAACTGTGCAGTAATTTTAAAAATACCACAATTTATGAGAAAAATACCCTCCTGAAGGATCCAATATTAAAATAGCAGTGACATGAAATTTAAATGCCTTATTAATAGACACCTTGGTTTGTTTTATTTGTGTATTTCCATGCTTTAAGTGAGTGCTGTGCTTCTTTTCTACAGTTTTATTCTGCCATGGCTTGGCTTTTAAGGCTGGGACTCTAATTAAAGCTAACTATTTTCCAAAATGTTCAGCACCACAATATTCAGTCGAAAGAATATTAAAGCATTCAATCCTTCAATAGGAGCAGCTGGATTTTTAAATAGCCTTCATGTAATCATTATTGAAACTGTAATTTCTCTTTTTGTTCACCAGTTAAGAGCTTCCCTCTTTCCACAAGGCTACACAAACAGGGCAGGAATAAAACAATGATGTAAGAGAACTTACATCAAAAGTGACTCTAGGTTTCCAATTCAGTTTTTGTTCTGCTTTGGTACGATCTCCTTGAAGAAAATCCTGAGAAAGGGAAAAGAAAAAAAACATTGCAGGACCTCTTTATGTGTTCCTTGTTTCAGCGTGTAACGTTTGCCACTGCACTGCTTGCTCCCTATCTAAAGCATTTTGAGGCCCCCAGCAGCTATAATTTGTCTTTAAAAGAATGAAGCTAGACCAAAAACCTTCAGGCTAACGAAACCATCAGCCTGACTCCCTTAACAGGTTGCAGTTGAGGTGGAAAGGTAAGGCAAGGGCCACACAAAACTTCTGACAACTATTGTCTAGCACCACTTTTATAAGAGACTCCTCTGTCCATACGCATTTCCCTATAAGTCCTGGGCTAGATCAGCGTCTTTACAGGACACACTTAGAAACTCTGACAAAAATCATTTATTTTTCATTGTGCAATTTCAGTTGAAGCTCAGATGCTTATAAATCACCAGGATGCACATTTAAGAAATCTTGCACAGGCTATTTAAAACGTAAGGAGTAATTCTTCTTTACATCAAACCTTATTGACTCTTTAATGGTGAACCCTTTACATTAAGTTGTCATATGTCCTGATCATGCTACTAAGAGAGCTGTTTCAAATTATTGCATTTTTTCCCTTTTGGTTAAACTGAAGTAAATCACAAAGTAAACATGACAACTGAAATGTTCTCTCTAAAATAAAAAACATGTGATCATGGAAAGACAGTGCTGGATAACTGTTAGAACCCCCGTTACTGCATTGTTATAGGGCAGTGATAGCATGTCCAGCAGATAACGTGGAGAGTGAAAGCTTTTGGCACACTTTTTTACAAGAAGTAACTTGAACATCCACGTGGAAACAAAAGTAACTGGATATATAACAACTAGATACAGAGAAACTACCCTGAAATAGTATTACAGGAACCCAAACACTGTTAGTCAACCACAGCTTTATGATTCAAGCCTATTTAAAGTGCCACAAACACACACATGCTGCATCTCTAATGAAACTGAAATATATTTTATTATTAATTGTTTCTAGATTAAACATTAGTTTTATAAATACCCCCTTTGCTTGAATGTATATACAAAGCTCACCTAAAACACAATTAAAAGCTTTCTGTATGTGAAAGGATAGCTGTATAATTCCACAGCAAATTGTCTTTCCCCTTGAGGGGAAAAAAATGTTTGCGATAAATTCTGCCTTCATATTTGACTTCAGTGATGTAAGGGCAGCAGGATTTGGTGTCTCTAAAATTGGAAAAATGGAGGTTTTCCCCCCCCTCCTTCCTCCATCCTTTCTGACCAGTGGTGGAGCTAATGAGCATTTTGTGGCATTAGCTCTCCAAAAGAAGTACTGCTGCACACACAGTGTTCCAGATACCATCTTCTTGCGTGCCTGTGATCATGTTAACTTCCCAAAATTGCCTCGCCCTGTGCCAAACGTAGGAAATTCTTCTTCAGAAGTGTGCTACATAAAACTAGAGTTCCTTTCCAGGAGCAGAGGAAAATCACCTCAGGTACTGTACTGCAGATGGGGATGTGGAACAAACAGGTCTGCTGAGAATGTTCCAGGCAGCATTTTTAATAATTCAGTCTGTATGCTAAAAATAATGTTGGCTTCCTCCAGAAAAGACTAAACAGACAGATCAAAACAAAATAAAATGACAAGCAAAATCATTTTGTTTTCCTAAGTTATCCTAAACATTTCCTATTGCAATTCTATCATGGCGTTTGGAAATTGCAGTAGACATTTGGGGCCAAATTCAGTAAAACCCTTCCCAATTGGAGTAATCAGATTATTCCTCTGAGTAAGGAATACCCAGGTGAGCATAGCATTGCAAAATCTGGCCCTGAAATAGGAAAGACTCCCATTGACTTTGATGGACTTTGGATCAGGTTCTAAATCCAAATGGAAGTATTTAATGCATGCCCTCTCTCTCTCGTTTTAGTTTAACATGCATTATATACGTCTAGAAGTAAGAAAAACCCTCTTAAAATACAAATTTCTGTACAAAAACAGTTCCCTTTCAATCAATACTAATGCAAGCTGTTTTAAACATTTAAACCATTAGCTAGTAATTTAGTATTTTTAATATAATCTAATTTTAAAAGTCATAATAAAAAGGTATATAATAAAACCAGAGTTTCATTTTTATAAACATTGTATAAAGTAATAATTTTACATCCACAATCTTTATTTCAAAAACAGATTCTTTCAAAACCCTGCCAAATCTAGGGTATTGATTTTTTTTTAATTCATTGTGGAAAAAGGTCAAGAGACAAGGGATGTCATTGTCTCATTGCACAGCAAATAAGTTTACAGGAAAACTATATATATATATATATGCTGCTTTAAAAGGTTCGGGAGCAGTCTTTAAACTTTCTAACACAAATGTTCTCCTTTAAAACCATTCATCCCCAAAATGTTTTTTTTCAATTCAAACCCTCCATTCAAAAACATAAGTGCTCAATTGTTGATAAGCAAAAAATAAGATTTGTTTTTCAAATCAATAAAAGTTCTAAAGTTGTAGTGATTACAGCTGTATGGTGTATATAAGATAACACAGAAGCTAGTATATGAAATCAACTTAAGAATGTAAGAAAAAACAAAAGAGAAACCTTTAAAGTTTATATACTTTAACAATGAAATAGTAAAAGTACTATGGTGCTTAGTTTGTAAAAATATTTACTATATATGATAATACAATTTTCCCCATCTGACCCAGGTTAAAACATTTTAAATGACTTTCCTAAAGAAGTTTATATACTTTCTTGAAAGCCTATTTCTTCAATAAGATTTAATTACAAATAGCATTATATAACCAGAATTTCTTCCTATGGATGTTTTAAGCTGTTCAACTATAAAAATTAGTAGATAGAAGACAACATGGACATGAAAAACAATATTATAGTTTAAACCAATCATCATAACATTACACCTAAATTCGAGGATTGAATGTATTGTTAGTGAAAGCTTGAAACACAGAATGGAAATGTTCTTAACGATGACTGGAAAAAGCTATTACTGATTAACGGATTGTATTGCAGTCATGTTTCCTGTATTTTTCTACAAGTAGCTCATAATATGAAAACAATAAAGTAATTACAATTAAATAAGAATATTTGAAAAAACGCTTGGAACTGAATCACTGCTTGTTTATGTAATTAAAGTCTTTCATTGAAACTAGAGCTGCACCTATTTAACTTTCAAATTCAGTCTTGTAAAGCCCTACTTTATCACTCCAGGGGCTTACAGCTTTTCAGTCCCAGGGCTTTACTTTCTGGAGGCACAACCAGACCAAAAAAGTTTATGAAGGAAGAGGATGAGGTGAGTCCCACGAGGAAAAATGGATCTTTGTGGTTCTTGAAAGACAGCTGCTGCTGAATACAGACCAGCCAATATTCCTGTTTCTGATAGCACAGTAGGTAAAGTATAGTCACATAGTAAAAAGAACAGGAGTACTTATGGCACCTTAGAGTACTCCTGTTCTTTTTGCGGATACAGACTAACACGGCTGCTACTCTGAAACCAGTCACATAGTAATATTTCTGCAGGATTTTTTTTATCATTGTGTTTTACGCATACAATGTATAAAAAAGTTCCTTGACTTCATGTAGAATTCAAGGGAATAGATAGGCAAGTAAGAGGGTTTTTTTTGTTTTGTTTTTACAAAAGCTGAAAATGATGTTAATTGTTTTGTGTTATTTTACAGTACTTGGACTTTGCAAATAAAATAACAGTGAAGTGTTTAAGTATCCATTTTAGGAGGAAGTGCCATCAGACTCTTATTTTCCATGAAAAAGAAAATGAAGCATATAAATGGCAAGTTTTACATGTGAGTTACAACTTGTTCTTGAATATGGAAAGCTGAGCATTCAGTGAAGTAGCTAAAGGGGTAAAAAGGCAACAGCCAAATTGTCTGTTGCCATTTAACACTATTGTAAAAATCTCTGACAGATTTAACTTCACTTAGCTGTGATATGATCTTCTCTCTAGGCCAGGGAAAAGAATGAGTCTATCTGATATGATCTTTTCTGTTTGTCTAGCCCTCTCCCCCTCTGTTTATAATTATAGCTTAAAGCTTAAATGTGCAAAAAAACCCAACAACCACCACACCCCCACAAAAAACACCTAAATTTTATTAAACCTGATTTTATGAAGATTCGGTTTTATAGTCCAAACCAAGCTAAAACAAACAAACAAAAAGGTGCACACATGAGTACAGAGAAACTTGTTGTGTAGTGTGGGCTGGCATTTTTTAAAAAAGAGTTCTAAAACCCAGATAAAAAAAAAATGTAAAATATTTCTGTGTAAATATCACATTTCCTGAGCTCTGGTTCTGAGTGTCATCACTACTTTTATTTTGACTCATTAGGTGAATGATCGGGTTTCACTGTGCAATTTATTACTGTCTAATTCAATTAAATTTAACTGAAAATTTGAAAAGCCTCAAGACAACATGAGGGGAAAAAAAGCGTACAGATTGCTTAAAAGTACTGTAAGTTTTCTCCTAATACTACTGTTGATCTAATCACATTTAGATTAATTCATTTAACTCAACATTTAGGGTCAGATTCTGCCCCCAGTTGCACCAGTGTAAATCCAGAACAAATCTAATGAGGTTATGGGTGCTATAAAACACCTAGGATGAAATGCTGACCCCATGGAAGTCAATGGCAAAACTCCCATTGACTTCAATGAGGATAGGATTTCATCCCTAAAATAGACAGAGTTGACCTGAATTGTAATAGTTCTGCAGTTGGAAAGTTGTGGTGGTCACATTCACAAGATGATGCATAAGGTTTTTCTGGAAGGTGACTTCTTATGTCACAGATCTTTTATAAACTGATAAAGGGGTTAGACGAAGCTCTAAGAAGTCACTAAACTAAGTGCCTGTTCCTGCAATTCTTTGCCTGAGAAAGCCGAAGTCAGAATTGGGCTTCTAGGTCACAAAATTTTCAAGAATGTAGTAATTTGAATACAAGGTTTCCTTTAACCCCATTTTTCTCCTCTATCTGATGCATTTCCTTATTGAGACAGCTCTCTC